CCCAGGTATTACAACTCTCCCCCTTGAAGAAAAAAATTAGTCCCTTAAATTTGTTGCCCTCTCACTAGTCAAACAGTTGGGGGTACTGGGTCCTGAAGTCTGATTCTAGTTCTTAGGTGGCCTCGTCTTTCGCGTGATTCTGCCGTAAGACTTTGACGAAGAAAATTTCTCTATTGTGAAGTACTCTGCTCTTCCGGTCTAAAATACGTACCTGTACTTCCTCATAGGATAGATCTTCTTGGAGTGAAAGTAGCTCATGAGACAAGATATGTGAGGGGTCTAGGTTGTACTTCCGTAGCATAGATACATGAAATATGTTATGGACTCTAGATAGCTTTGGAGGTAGTGTTAATTTGTAGGCGGACATACCAAACCTGTCCAAGATATCAAACGTTCCAATAAACCAGAGGTTTAATGTTCTCTTATTTTCAAACCTACTGATACCCTTAAAGGGGTTGACCTTAATAAACACTTGATCGTCTTTTTTCAAATTCCAAATCTCTCATTTGGGTGTCTGTATAACTCTTCTACCTACTTTGAGCTGTCTGGATGTTCTTCCTAATTTTAACTATCTTGGTTGTGGTCTCCTCTATAAGATCTCAGCTAAACAATTTTCTATCACCCACATTTTCCTAATAGATCGGCAACCTACAAGGTCAGTCATACAATGCTTCAAACGAGACTATGTCGATACTTGCTTTGTAACTGTTGTTGTAGGCGAACTCTATCATGGGCAGGTAATCATCCCAATATCCTCTGAAGTCCAAAATACAAGCTCTGAACATATCTTTCAGTGTTCAAATTATGTATTCTGACTGTCCATCGGTCTGAGGGTGGAATGTTGTGCTAAGGGACAGCTTTATTTCCATTACTTGCTGAAAACTAGACCAAAATCGAGAGGTGAACCTAAGGTCTCTGTCATATACCACTATCACCGAAAGGTCGATCATTTTGATAGCCAAAAAATGAAAAGACTTAGTGAGCCAGTCAACAATTACCCAGATAGCATCATGTTCTGAGCATGCCTTAAGCAACTCTGTCACAAAATTCATGGTGATATGTTCTCATTTTTACTTCGAGATCGTAATGGCTAAAGTAGTCCAACTGGACGTTGATGCTCTATCTTAACCTTTTGACATACAAGACATTTGGAGATAAAATCGGTAATTTCTCTTTTTATCCCACTCTACCAAAATTAGGGTCGCATACTTTGACACATCTTATTACTTTCGGGATGCATAGTGAACTTTGAGCTATGGGCCTCTGTTATAATATCTTTTTTTAGTTCATTGTTATCTGGGACACACACACTGCCCTGAAATCTGAGCAACTCATCGGCAGAGACTTAGAATTCTAGATTTATCTCATGTTCTGTATCCTTTCTAAGAGCTGTTAGGGTAGAATCAGTCAATTGAGCCTCTCTTATTCTCTGAATCAGTTTAGGTTAGACAGTCAGATTGGTTAGGCGTGTAACCCTCTTCAAGTTTTGAAGTCATATATGTTGTGCAACCTTTATTACTTTGTATTCAAAAACCATTAAGCGAGCCAACATACCTATACTTTTTCTATTTAGCGCATCGGCTACCACATTGTCCTTGCCTAAGTGATACAAAATCTTATAATAATAGTCCTTGAGGAGCTCTATATAATGCTTCTGACGCATGTTGAGATCTTTCTAAGTGAATATATGTTTCAAGCTCTTATGGACTTTATAAATATCAAAAGTCTTCCTACACAAGTAGTAGTGCCAAGTCTTCAAGGGGTGGGTAATGGTGGCAAGTTCTAAATCGTAGATTGGATAATTCTTTTCATAACTTTTTAACTGCCTGAATTCATAGGCTATAACCTTTCCATACTGCATCAGAATATAGCTCAACCCCAAGTAGGAGACATCACTATACACTGTGTATCCACCTGTCCCACTCAGTAGAGCAAAAATTGGTACGGTAGTCAACCGTTTCTTGAGTTCAGTAAAGTTCCTTTTGCAATTCTCATTCTACTCAAACTTGACATTCTTCTTTACAAGGTGGGTCAAAGGAACGGCTAGGTAGAAAACTCTTCCACAAACCTGCGTTAATAACTTGTCATTTCCAAAAAGCTACGAATCTCCTTAACTAAAGTCAATTTTTCCCAACTAAGTACCACCTCAACCTTCTCAGGATTCACTAACACCCTATCCTTTGATATTATATACCCTAAGAAGATAGTCTGTTCTAGTTAGAATTCACATTTACTCAATTTTTCA